CATTCATGTAGGCAAAAGCTTGTGTTTAATTATCTGAGCCTATAAATTAATACAATTTTTGGAAAAAAATGGTCTAAATATTCAAGGAACTTTCTAGGAATGCAATTACAGCTCTGTGCGAATTCAGGGAAGACTGGCTTTGCTACCATGTATCCGTCAGCATTTCATGAAGTCACCTCCTTGACGGGGACATGCTGGAGGGAGCTGACTCACTGGCTCTGCACCTGTGCTGCAGTGCTGGAGCAGTTCCTTCTCTGGGATGCCAGAGACACACCCTCCTGCTACCAGGGACAAAATCCTTGACGTTCACATACTGAGGTGCCATCTATGCCATTTCATTAGAAGTTACTGATTTTTTTTTTTTTTTGTCTATTTGAGGCTGGGTCTCACTACACAGTTCAGGCTGGCCTTGAACTTGCAGCGCTCCTCTTGCTTCAGCTTCTCCATTGCTGGGATTACAAGTGTGTGCCACCACGCCTGGCTGAAGTTACTGTTCTTTTTTTTTTTCTTTTTGAGACAGGGTCTCGCTATGCAGTTCAGGCTGGCCTTGAGCTCACTTTATAGTCGAGGCTGGTCTCGAACTCGCAATGATCCTCCTGCCTCAGCCCTGGGTGCTGGGATTACAAGTGAGCGCCACCATACCCGGCATAGTTACCGTTCACTGGATTCTGTTTTGTAGTATAGGCCTAGACGTATTTTAAGTTTTTTTTGGAGACAGGGCCTCTTGCTCTGTAGTTCATGCTGGCCTTGAACTTGTGGCAATATTCCTGCCTCAGCCTGCCAAGTATTAGGATTACAGATGTGTGCCACCATGCTCGGCCATTTTGAGTTTTCGAAGGTATGTGTGTAGGAAGGTTGTATCACCTATGACTTCAATTTATGATGAGGAGGGTGTCATTATAAAATATTATAACAATGTTCTAGTCACCCTCACGGTACAGTATTTGGCTTCCTTCTACCTCTCTTGGGGGGGAGCAGCCAGAAAGGAGCTTCATTTCCCTTCCTTTTTTCTCAGAGGAAGCCCCTTTGTCCTTTGCACACCCAAGCTCAGGCCCATCATGATCCGCCATCAGCATCACCACCACCATCATCAGCATCATCATCAGCAACCATCACCACCATCAGCATCACCACCATCA